GACATTGTACATAGATGTTTTATACATCATTCATATAGATGTTTTATACATCATCAGGAAGACTTGCGATAAGTCGACCTTGTTTATATCAGCATGATAATATGTCATTTTTATAACTTCGATATGACATTGATATGTCATAATGTGAATTTATAATGCATTGATCATGAATAATATGATATTTTACCATGAATGTTATTTTGGGTATGAACTGCCCCATTGTTAAATTATGATAATATACTTTGCCATGGATGGATTAAATAAAATTGACTATATGCCCAAGGATGTTATTGAGGATCAGTGGTATTAATGGCATGCCATAGAGTCTAGCAGCTGCCTATTAGGTAACACTAGAGTGTCTAGAGAAGGTACATAGTGCAGGCCTCAAAGTGTCTAGCAAAGAAATAGTACAAAACACTACGGTGTATAAGGTGGGTAAAGCCCGTCCTCAGCACTAAGGTGCATTATTAGGTGAGCAAAGCTCGACCTCAGCACTTCGGTGCAATATTTAACTCCTATACCGGGTTCTCATACAATTATACTTTGGGTTATGGTTTATTGGTTAATAAATGATAAACTGGCAAATAAGCTTACGAGCTTATGGAATAATGGTAAGTATATTAGTAAAATAAGCTTACGAGCTTATGGGATTAAATGGTAATTATGTTGGTAAAATAAGCTTACGAGCTTATGGGATTAAATGGTAAGTATTTTGGTAAAATAAGCTTACGATCTTATGGGATAAATGGTAAGAGATTTTATCTTATTTTGATCATGGAAAAATATTAGACATGTATGTAACATGATCTAATGGCATTTGTTTTTGACAATGAAATTCATGCATGAAATGTATTGCACTGTTTATTGTTTTAATTGCCTTACTAAGTATATACTTGGCATGTGATAATTTTCACGCGTAGCTAAAAAGCCAGTAGTGGAATAAAGAGTTTAAAGCGACATCAAGCATCGAGGAGTATATTTCAATATCAGTAAGACATCCTAAGATGTAATGTTGACTTGATTAGTGGCATGTATTTATTAATGTTCTATTGCTTTGTTGAACAAATTTGGAAACAAAATGGTAATTTTATGAGTTTTATATATTTTTACTGAAATTACTGTATAAAAAAATCTTTTGCCTTAAATTTGTTATAACGAAGCATAATTCATATGATATGATATTTTTATAATATCATTTACCATTTTAAGAAAATAAATTTTAAATAACGGTTTGAATTGGAAATGGTTTTAGAAATTCGGGTTACATCTATAATCTGTATAGGTATAATTATACAGGTTATGGTGTTACAGGAGCCTCTTTTATTTAGGTGAGGTGGAATCCTTCTTGTAACATGACTAAGTAACAAATTAAATACCTTAATTATAATAAAATAATAAATATAATCCTAAAAGATAATGTAACATCCTATATTAAATTATATTACAAATAATCAATGAAAAAATTGAAAATTCATAATATTTATAAAAACTTGTATTAATCCCGTTTAGGATTTTATGCATTGCGTTGTCTTAACTAAAATGGACATATCTTGAGTTTCCAATATGAGATTGAGGTGATTCAAGAATTTTTGGAAAGATAAGAGACAATATATCGTAACTATAGAGAACATGTTGACCAAATAAGATAACTATCCCATTCAAAAAGAAGTTGCAAGTTTATTGCTCTGTTGTTCTTCTTTTCCAAGGCTTTAACGTGTGGATCACTTAGAAGATTTATTCCATCTTTCTTTGATGTGATCCTGATGATGCATGTATCATCCTCTCTCTCTTAAAAAGGATTCGACCTCAAATTTGAAACATCAAATGGGTAAAACATTAGAGCTTTTTAAGAATTCAATAAATTTATACTTACCAGTAGATATGCTTTGAATCTTCTAGACTTCGTTCTCCTAGTAAGTTTGAGTAGAACCAATAGTCCATAGAAGCATACGTTGTCAACATTATGGACTCTGGTACATATGCCATTCCCCCTTCACAAAAAGAATCGTCCACATATCTAGAAATTCAAGAGAAAGAAATTTAGATATGTGGGAAAGACAACATGTGAAATTATTGAAAACGTTTTTGTGTTTCGATATAACAAATTAAGTTTAAATGAATTTTAAGATTTTACAAATGATTTTCTAAGTATATTTGATTTAATTAATCGAATATCAAATTATTACTCCAAGTCTTTCAAGTTGAAATTAAAACCTTACTAAATGTGTAAAATTGTGTTTTATACTTAAACTATTTTTGAAACAATTTTCATAAAGTATTTTGAACCAAAATCAAGCCTAAAATCCATTTATCAAAGTGATGCACCGATGCACCAATCCATGCATCGATGCACCATGAATTAAATTGAACATCAAATGCATTTCATGCATCGATGCACATACCATGCATCGATGCACTGAGGATTTTATGAAAACATCGAATGCATTTGATGCATCGATGCACTCCGGCTATTTTGAAACATCGAATGCACTTGATGCATCGATGCAATCTTAGTGCACCGATGCACTAAGGGTCCAACAGTCAAAATATTTGAATTTTACACCGATGCACCGATGCACCATGGGTATGCATCGATGCACTGACGCTCCCAACTACTTTAATTAATTGTTTTCACACTTAAACATATCTATTAACTCCACTATCCATCCCCAACATTCAGAATCATTTGAAGGAGTATTTAAACAAGCTTAGAATCCATTGATCAACAACAAGAATAAACAAGAAACAAGAATCAAGAGAGAATCAAAGAGAAAGCATCAAACCTCAAGTTTGAGCATTTCAAGCCTCTTTATCATTCAATATTCATTTTGCTTTCAAGAACACTACTTGTACTCAATTGTATTCATTTTCGAGTGTTATTTTCATTGTTCTAAAATTGTGCAAATAATCTACCTTGTGAGGATTTCCTTGTAAGTTTGCAAATATGTAATCTTCTCTTTGAGAAAGAGTGTTCTCAAGAACTGGGGTATATTCTTGAGGGAGTTGTAAGGTTATCTCTTTGGCCTCAAAAGAAAGAACAAATTAGTTAATTTGTTGGAAAATCCTTAGTGTGGATAGCTAAGGTAGTGGATGTAGACTTTGGTTGAGAAAGTCGAACCACTCTAAATCGATGTGCAAATCTTTTCAATTTTCTGCAAAAGCTTCCACCAAAATTTTAATTGCCAATTCACCCCCCTCTTGGCCAATTCCATCGATCGATTAACTCAACAGAAATACCTACCCAAATCAATTTGATGAGTCATTATGAACTCTAGTAGAGGTTTCTTCCTTGTTGGAATCAAATTCTTATTATCTTGAAATTCGCTTTTGAACACAAGTCTTCAAATCTAGTGTTTCAGTTAAAATTTAACATGGCGTCGACCACTTTTGGTTTTCTTTGTGATTGCCTCATACGCCATTTTATTGTTTTTAATATTGTGTGGTGAGAATTAGTGTTTAAAAACCATGTCAAGCAGTTCATGAAAGTAACCCATGAAGTCTCATAAGTGTGGTTCATGAGTTGAGAATTCTTGTAAGGAGCTTTATGGACTGCATAACCTGTTTAGTTGAAACAAAAACCCATATACAAAATTGAACTCATTAAAAATACTTTTAAGAAAAAGAGTATATATATCATAAATATCCGAGTCATCATGATATGCATATTTGATATGTTCAATTCTCAGAAAAGTTGTATGCATTTGGGAGGTAAGAGTATACCTTCGAGGTAATACATCACCTACAATGTTATCTTTCCCTTTTTTTATACTTAATGAAGTAAGGAAAAGATTCAATGAATTTAACCTATTAAGTATGTAATTTGTTTAACTTACCTTGTCCCTTTAACAACTTCAAGGAGTCATGGTTTGTGTGTATGAGAAACTATTTAGGAATAATGTAGTGTTGCCACACTTCGAGTGCTCGAACTAATACTAAAAGTTTTTTGTGTTAGGTAGATTAATTCAATTGTGAAACTTTTAACTTATTGCTAAAGTAAGCGATATCTTTCCTGCATAAGAACTATGCCTATGCCTATACCTAAAGCATCACATTCTAGCTCAAAAGTGGTAGAATAATTGGGAAGATGAAAAATAGGGGAAGAACATAACATACCTTTAAGAAGTTCTAATGCTTCTTATTTTTGTGGTCTCCATTTGAATTTAACTTAATGTTTTGTGATTTTCGTCAACGGTGCGACAATAGTAGAGAAATCCTAGCTTGCTAAGCCATGGAAAAATCTTAGCTCAATTATATAAGATAACATAAGCCATTCTCGAATTGCCTTTACCTTTTCAATATCGAATGGATTTCCTATGCACTTATTATAAAGCCTAAAAAGATATGCTTACAAAAAAAAGTACTTGTACATGTTAGCATAAAAGTGTTACCATTGGAGAACTTCAAGAACCAAGTGGAAGTGGGGGAGATGAAAATCAAGAGAAGGTGAGTAGATAAGAATATCATCAAAGTAAATAACATACTTACCTTTGGTATGGTTTAACTCTTGTTTTTTCACTGAAATGACACAATGACTAAGGCTTTCCTATATGTAGTCTTTTTGTAGCAAATCTAACTCCTTGGTTCCTTCGAGATTATTTGTTTGATAGGGCATGATAGAACATTGAATTAAATTAGTATGGTGTTATTTCCCTCTTTCCGGTGGCAATCCATTAGGTGGATAACCTAAAACTTCTCAAAAATCCTGTAAGTGATAAATAAACACACTAGAAAAATACTTGTTAATGTTAGAAATTAAAACAATTGATTCCCTAAAGTGAAAAATGATGTAGAATTTTGTGAATAAGGTTCCCTTTTAATTATTTTGTCTTCACATATGTATTTTAAGTCACTCTTTTCTTTTCATAATTAGGTTCACTCACCTCTCATAGGTCATGTTGATGGCTTTTATGGGTTGTGACCTCTTTCATTTTTGCCTATTTTTTTAATGTCTCTTTCTTTTTGTGTTTCCCACACTCCTCACAAAATTTCATCACATGAATTTAAATTATATATTTTGATTTCAATGGTTTAAGGTTAAGTGACTGAAGATCGGTATTTTCTATTACAATGCTGCTAGTATCGTATTCATCGATGTCATTGTCTAATTCAGTATCATCGGTAGAAGGTGGAGTGGAAGAAGAAGTGGAAGTAGGTGAACCTTGGGTATCTTCTATTACAATGCTACTAGCGTCATATTCATCGATGTCATTGTCTGATTGAATATCTGTGGTAGAAAGTATAGTAGAAGAAGTGGAAGTAGATGAATTACCTTGCGAAGTAAAGAAGTACCTGGGTAAATAGATTAAGTGTCTTGGTAAGTGTCTCTGAAACGATACTTCCTTTGAAGTTGTGATTCGATTATCATTGCGTTCTTCAGTGTATCTTCAAGCCTTTAATAACCATGTAAGTCAAGAAGATTAGTGATGTTTGGATGTAATCTAGTGACAAATCTATTCATCGTGTATCCTTCTGCTTCATGTATGTCTGCACGATTCATTAAGGGCGTCAACTCCTTGTAGTACTCTTTTGATGAACTTTTGTCTTGTCAAAGTCTATTAAGTTGTTGATTTACTTCACAAATGTAGTCTGTCAAGATAAAACATTTTCTCATTACTTGTTAAGATCTGTCCAACACATGATGTCTGGTATTTGAAAACCTTGCATCATCTTTCGTGTTTGCTTCCACTAAGTAAGAGCATAACCTTGGAATTTTGAGGTGATCAATGTTACTTGTTTTTTCTAGGACAATTGCAGTAAGAGAACATATGGTCAACTTTGCTCTCCCAACCCATGTAGCCATCTTGATCGCAATCTCCTTTGAATTGTGGAATTGTGAACTTTGGTTTAGCAAAACGGTTAGGCCTATGAAAATTCGATTTATCATTGGCGTTTTCTTGTCTTCTCATGGTGAGATTAGGTAGAATTTCATCAAATCATCGTTGAATTTCCTACACTAAAGTGAAATGTTGATTTGAATCATTCAATAGTTTTGCTAAGGTATTATTTAAAGAAGCTTCTTCTTCCTTCTTAAAATTACAACACTAAAAGATTAATTTTAATGTGAAAAGAAAAAAAAACAAGAATCCTCACAAGTCACTCCAATGAAGTAGTACAATTAGCGAAAAGAAAGTCGATCTTGTACTCTTTAAAACTTTCTTCTCCAAAACGTTTTCCAATGTTCGTATCAGAGTTCAATCATTAGAAAAGGAATAAAACTTTACTTACAGGTTCTAAGAGGCCAAAGAAAGATAGTACTCCAAGAGAACAAGAATGCAAGGAAGAAGAAGCATGAAAACTCTTTAATCCTAATAAAACAAGAAAGAGAATGTGATAGATGATATATAATAAAAATTAAAAGGTAAAACAAAAGAACCTAAAGAAATAAGAGTAAAAGAAAAGGTTAAAAAATAAACCCGAAAAAACCCTGATTAGTTAGATCGACTTTAGTAATATCTTTGAAAGGGTTTACAATCTCTAAAAATTATAAAATTGTTTGTGGATGTCTCCCAATGAGTGTAACTAGTGCTCAAATATACCAATCAATCTTGAATGATGGATAAGAGGGATTCAATGAAGGTCTATTGGTATGAAATTTGAATTGGACACTTCTATTAAGATGGGGAAAGTTTCTATAAAAAATCAATTCCAAATTCTCTTATTTGAGTTTTTTAGATATATTTTATTTTTTTTTTGGATTTTTCTCTTTTTTGTGCCTTTTTTCTTCTTTTTCTGATTTTTTTTATTTTCTTTTATGTTTGATGAAAAATATCAAACTAACAAGAATAAATTAAAACTAAACTAAAAAAAATTGAAAAATAACCCGAAAACGATGAACTTGTCTTAACTAGCCTCGCTGGGGGTACCATGATGAAGTGTGTTCGTAAGAACAATCAAGAATACTTGATTTACTCCAAGAACCATCCTAAATATGATTCCAATTTATTGAAAAGAAGAAGTGGATGATGATCGTTGCTCTTCATGGAGGAATCAAACCTAGAAAGCTATAGACTCGATCAAAGAATGAGAGGGTGAATGAAAGATGTGGGCTGCAAAAAGGTAATTGGATTAGCGATTTTAGTTTATGATATTAAGACAATAAGAATATGTTAAGACAATAAAATAAGCATAATATAATTCTAAGGACAGGAAACATGGAAATAAAAGAAACTAAAAGACAAACATGTAATAAAGGAATTAAGTTATCTTCCCTTATGGTGGACTACAAGAGGTTGTTGCAGATGAATTTTATTGGATGACTGCTCATTGTAAATATAATGAAATAAAGATGACAAAAAAAGAGGAATGATCAGAATTCTGACAGTCGGATCTTCATAAAAATTGATTCAAAAATTTACCCTCGGTAGGTACGTGCTTAACGCAAACCTTAAGGATTTGGTGATGATGGTGGCATGATGATGGAGGAGGAAGATAATGAGTTATGGAGATGAAAGATAGATGGATATTTCCTACCAAACCCTCCTAGTTGCAATGAAAAGACAAACTTCGCAATACGACTCTAACCAACCCTCTAATCGTATTGAGAAGGCAAACCGGAGTGTGAAGATATCTCTCTCAGGAACTTGGGAGCACTTAAAGGGAAAGATGCTTTGAAGGCACAAGGCAATAATATCTTGTAAGAACTTACTCACATTGTATTATTATTCAAAGAAAAGATGATGTTTACAATGGTGGGATGAGCCTCCTTTATATAGGTGAGGAGGAATCCTTGTTGTAACATGACTATGTAAAAAATTAAAGATGTTCTAATAGCAATAAACTAAATATAATTGTTTTAACTCAATATTAATTCCTAATAAAATAATAAATGTTATCCTAAAATATAATTTATCATCCTATATAAATTGATAATCAATGAAAATATTGAAAATTCATAATATTTATAAATTCTCGTATTAATCATGTATAGGATTTTCTGCATGCGTTGTCTTCAATTAAATGGACATATCTTGAGTTCCCGATATCAGATTGAGGGGATTAAAGAACTGTTGGAAAGCTAAGAAATAGCCAGTCATAAGTATAGAAGACATGTTCCCAAATAACATTAAGATATCTTTTAAATGTAGTCGCAAGTCTGCTGTTCTGTTGTTCTTCTATTCTAATACTTTATCGTGTGGATCACTTAGAAGCTTTAGTCCATCTTTGTTTGATGTGAGCCTTGTGATTAATGTATCACTACACTTGATTGGGAGAATTTTGATGTTAGATAAATCTGGTAGTCTATTTCGTACACAATATATCTCTTTTTTGAATACTTTTTTGAATAATCGTCAAGATTGTTGGGGATCTGCGATATTGGTATTCTTATACCATGATATTGATGTTACTACAATCGTGGGATTGTCACACACATCTATTTTTAATACCGAATAGCCAAAATGCGATGGACTTTCCTCTTGTTGGAAAGTAATAATCTTAATTAGAATTTATTTATTTCATTGAATTGGAGGTCATACGAATATGAAGAAATAATACCGTGTGTGTCACAACATGTTTTGAATGGTTGTTAATATTGGTGTGTTGTTACACCATTGATCCATTTTTCTTTTGTTGAGTTTTAATTTTTCGATAGAGTGTTGAGTTAGTTTGACTCTATACAACATATTCTGCAAATTCTAGACAATCATAACACTATCCATAGATTCGATGGACGGGGTAGGCACAATGAGTATTGGGTTGTGAGGCATACCAACTTAATCTATCTTTAGAATAACATGGCTTCATACTTACCAACTCTTACTCCTACTAAAGAGGGTGACGTTTTATTTTATAATTTGAATTACCTTAACTATTATTGAGATAATGGAAAGCCTTACTTTACAATGATTAAGGCATGGAAACAATTGATACATTATAAGAATATTTTTTTGTAAAGCCAAAAAATCTAGATTGAATAGGAGTGAGATTTCATATTACCATGAAGTGGAAACAACACAAGTAGATTATAGCTCATCTTAACCTTTATTCAATACGAGATCATTTCATCAAGCGTTTGATGATTATGATGTTATGACCTACAAGTGTGAGCTTATTCTCCTTAATCACCCATATACTCTACCAAGTTTGGACCAACTTTTGATTGTGATAACATGACATATATGATGTCAAATATGATTTTTGTCATCCTATGTCTCCCCTGAAGATGGGAGAGTAGAGTGGTTGGAAAATATTTACGACACCAGATCATATGCCCTCTTTGAGTGAAAAGGTTGGCTATGATGATTAGACTCCTAAGAAACCACAACACAATCAATGTTATCCTTTATATTATCATTCACCAATACCTCGACACCGATAAGAATTGTAAATGCTTCATTATTTTTGTATGAAAAATTAATTTTAAATTAAATGTTCTTCAAATAAATTATTTGTATGTTTAATTATGTTTATTTAAAATTATTAAAATGTCAAGTTCAAATTTAATAGTGTACAAAACATTCATTTAAATGGAAATAGAGTCACCAATCACTACTAGAAAAAACCCCTTTAATGACGCGCAATGCTTGTTATCTATGGGTGCAGATGACACACAAATTCGTGTCATTGAATCCACTGACATAAATATCAGATGACACGTAATTGTGCGTTATAAATCTATGATGCGCATTTATGACACGTATTTATGGCGCTCATTTATGGCGCACATTTATGACATGCATTGCGCGTCATTGAAGCCTCCGTCATAAATGAAAATGACACACATTTGTGTGTCATAAATTTATGACATGCATGAATGATTTACATTGCGTGTCATTGAAGCCCTTTCATAAATGAAGATGACACACATTCGTTTGTCGTGATTATATTTCGTAAATTATATATATATATATATATATATATATATATATATATATATATATATATATATATATATATATATATATATATATATATATATACATTATAGATTAACAAATAATCAAACTAAATCACATTTAATGCCTCATTATACTAAATATATATATCATATTATATATAAGCAATCCATTTGCATACAATATATTCACATTACGTTATCAAAAATATAGCAATCATATGTCGATATAAGGAACATATAAAACAAATTAAAGAACAAAAACCTGATTCAACCATTAATCACACAGTAACTTCATAATCCTACTACAATAAACTTGAACATATAAAAACTAATAAAAGTAAAATATATTCATTCAAAAACTGAAGGTATATAATGAATTGTTACATGACCTTTTACAGCAAAAAGTACCATAGTCTCATCTACATCCCCCTCTTTGTTCTCTTCTTCTGTCTTTTCAGAATCAGAAAGCAAACCTCCAGCTTTCTCCAAGCGTTCTTCTAGGGAATCTTCAAGCAATTATGAGAAGTATAAGAAGCTCAAAGTTAAAAAAAAATATTAGAAATATGTGAACAAGTATGCAATTGTGTATTTAAGTGGAGTACAAATAGGATTCTGTATAGACCTGATGGCAGTAGAAACCCTTTTACTTTCATAATGGAAGGAGAATTATATCTGTTAAATCCATATATATAAGACCAGTTCAGCAATTCACTCCCCAATGTATTTCTTTCTGGTTTATCTGATTAGCTGCATCCTGGCAACTTCCAATAAGTGTTACAACCTCTGCATCATCAGAAATGGAACTGGGCTGTCCAAAAGAAACTGCAAGGAAATAAAGAAAACAATAGTCAAACAACACCTCTTTTGCATACATAACATGTAGAATATAAAAAAACTTAGCTAACCCTTATTCCCATATATAATAGGGTAAGGGAGAGCTAGGATAGTAGGCTGCCCCCAACGCCAAGCTGAGAGCAGCTTCCGTAGGAGACCTCCAAATTATGAAATTCCCTCCATGGGACTCGATCCCACGACCCCAAGATTAAGAGCCTTGTGCTCTACCAACTGAGCTGGATGGCATCACCTTGAAAGTTAATGTGTTCATTGATGACCCATAACATTGCAGTGGATTGTGTTTTATGCAAATATTGCAATAGAAGATCATAGGAATATTGTCAAAGTGATTGACAACAAATTCAACAGTAAATGAGGAAATAAATAGATTATTTTCTTATCTATTAGCAGTTACCAAGGAAACAATTTATGGCTTTTACCTGACATATCTTGATGTTAACATTAGACAAGTACGATGATTAATTATATTGTGTTTTACTAAAATTAAAATTAAGCACTTACATCATATAAAAAGTAATAGAGAAACTGGGATTATTCCATCTCTTGATTAAGTGAATGGTCTGTTAATGCCCTTATTTTACTCTGCCTAAGAGAACGAGCAAATTCCATCTCCTGATAAAAAAAACATATAGGTAGCAGCAATATATACGAGAAAAATGATTCAAACCTCCAACATATAACTGTATGCTATTGCACCCATTGAAGCTGAAGTGATACCCTCACAGTTGTCAAGCTTAAGAACCGTTAACATTGGTAGTCTTACAGACTTCATAGAAAGAAAATGCATCAAAATATTGCTTAACCAGAAAGCGGTACTAATTAGAACTAAATTAACCATTTGCAAAAACTGACCTCAAGAGATATGTTAGGACAATATGACGAATTCAGAACATGGAGAATAGAACAAGAGCGGGCTATTTCTTGCAATGTTTCATCACTAACACATGAATAATTTGACATGTCTAAAGACTCTAATTGAGGGCAATAAGTCACTGTGGAACGAATTGTTGCATCTGTAAGTTTATGGCATGCACTTATATCAAGCAGTTGTAAAAAGGGGGAAATTAAGGGCTGCCTGTGCCATATTACTACATTTCAAGGACAAACTCTTTAATAGTGGGCACCTACAAAAGATCAGATGTTATCATAACAGAAGAACAGATTGACATCAAAATATAGTTTACAATCAAATCTAGATTTTGCTTCACCTGATAGATATATGCATCACACGGTTTTTAGTTACTTTCAGATCACATAACCTATCATGGTTAATAGGTTTCTCTTGACCACCATCACCGAGAATAGCATCATTCACATCCAAACTCCTTAACATACCACACTTAGTCAATGCATAGAAAAAAGCATCCCCTAGTAGCCCTTTTCCTAATGTTAAAGCCTTAAGATTTCTACCAATCAGAAATTTTTATACACATTAATAAGAGGTTGTGTAAAATTCATTTTATTAGAACATAAAATATGTCAACAAAATATTACCGTAATGAATGGATACTTTCATAACAAGAAGGTGCATGCTAGGAGTGCCACTCAGGTTCACTTCAGTGGCATTTGGATATCTTTGACAAATGTCATCAACTGCAAGATCAAAATGCAACGTTATTGCAGTATGGCATCCAATTTCATTACATTAATGTACCATTTTCTCATGCAAAATAATATTATAATCGAATACCCATAAAGTTTTCTTATCTAAAAAATAATGTCAACTCCAAAAAATTTCTAAACTTTGTTTAGAGTACACTATTTAAAATTAATGAGAACTAAGTAAAGATATTGAGAAAATCTGAGACTCAAATTGTTCAAGAGATAAATTCCAGTTTTCAAAGTTCAAATACCTCCAAAAATCCTCATGAGCACTAGCTGACTGCCATTGCCTACAAATCATGGCAGCATTACAAAGATTACGATGATCCAAGAAGGAGAACACGCAAATAAACGGACGAGCCCTTTGTTCCTGTTCGTTCATTTAATTAAACGAACACCAGATTCTGTTAATGTTTATTCGTTTAATAAATAAACGAACATAAATGAACTTCTCGCTAAACAATTTACGAATGATTTATTAAAGGTTTGTTTGGTTTGCAGTCTTAGCTATTGTCATTACATTAAATCATAATAATATCAATTTAAACAAACATTTATAATTATTAAAATTTTTAAAACAATTTCAAACAACAATATCCAAATTTATTTTATTTACGAATTCACATTTCAACTACAATTCCAAGGGTCAATATTTCTCACACTGCAAATGGCTACATAATCAAAATAAAGAGAAAGAGGAAAAATTGAGACTTACCTGATAAAGCTTCTCCAGGTCACAAGGATTTGGTTGTTTCAGAAATATAGCATTCATGGCCGACTTCAGTTTTGTCCATGTTTCCTCAAAATTTGTAGGCAATGTCAGTTTTGCTACAGAGAACCAGGAGAAGTTAAAGTTGTATCAAAAACCCTTATGAGTATATTTTCAAAGTATTATCATTGTTAGTAAATGCAATGTTGTTCTATTTTCTTATAATTAGTTCATATAAACAATATATAATCAGATTTGGCTAAAAAACCAATAATACTTCAAACCTGATTACAGTTCCTTGCAAGTAGACTTATTAATATGAAATATCAATACCTGCTAACTAAAATCCATATTTAGCTGGTTGGAAAGATGAAGTAACTTATCATACTTATGCAATAACGCATCAAATATGCTAACAAAGAAATAGGTTTCAATTTACACAGCCTAAATGACATAATCCAATTTTAATTAATTAGTGTTAGCTCAGTATAATAGTAAAAGCAATAAACATAAATTTGCCTATCCTAAGATCTTAAGACCGAACAAAATCCCTAGTTTCTAAAATTCACCTCCTCTAATCCCCAATTTTTTAATTCCAAAAATGACCCAACAACCAAAGCCACTAAATTGCTAAGATCAAATTCTCTAATTAACTGAAAATAAAAAAAATCTTATATAAAAAAACACCTAGATAATAAATTATACAAGAAATGAGATCAATTAAAAGGAAACACAAACCTTTAACGAGTTTGATGACGAGCTTTTTGGCGGGTTGAGGTGGGATAGCCTTTTTGCGAGACAAATTAGCAGCGTCGGGAGTACGGGTATCGTCAGGCTTGGAATCATAGTCAAGGGCCATAGACGAATGGTCGAAAACAAAACAAGAAGAAGAAGAAGAAGAGGGTTGATTCGTCTGTTTAAAGTTATAAATGCAACTAAACAGAAAACCAAAGAAAATAAATCATACCAGCATTAGCGAACAAGAGAGTGGGATCATTGTGAGGATGATGCGGAGGGAGATACAGTGGTGCGGTGGAAGAGACGAAGATCGTCGAGTTCATCAGAGTTGGAAATGGGTGGTAGAGGCTGGGGATACAAACTCGGGCCTAACAAAAAGAAGAGAATCGAGATGAAAAGAAGGAGAGAAAAGGAGAGAATGAAAGGTGTGGAAAACATTAGGCGTGAACTGATTATCGAGGGGGGAAGAAGCGGGAAAATGAAAATTATGGGGAAATTAAAATACGACTTTTAGAGATGACACACAATTAAAAATGTACTCTGTGTTTTTGAAATTTTTTGGATTATGACTATTAAACATGACACACATTATTGTAAGTCATAAATTGTTTAGATTTTAAGAAACATGACATTTTTCTTATGACACACATTTTTTGCAAGTCATAAATTAGTGTGTGTCATCGTTCGTGTGTCATTAAAGGTTATATTTTGTTCTAGTGAATATTAATTCTAATATGGTTATCAATCACATTCACTCAAAAATTAAATAGGCAAAACAAAACATTCATTCAAATACAAATAGGTAATAAAAAAATCCATTCAAATACAAATAAGATTATCACTGAGTATTGTATCTGGGTACGTTTGAACAACTTTTTTAATGACCTTCACCCCTACATAATACACATCTCTTCAGTTGATCTCTCTCTTAAATATGGATATTTATGCTGGTATGAATGAGAGTGGATTGAGGTCGTCCCTTTAGATTGTACGAATCATTGGATTTGGTAGTCTTTCAGCATGATCATTTTTCAACTAATATGATTCAATTGAGATTTTTCTAAACTCAAAGTTGTAGATATTTAATAGCCCTTATAGGTGAACACACTCATCAACATAGGTGTACGCATTTTTTCCAGTATACATACATGTATCGACTACATAAGCACATAGATATCTCCATGCCTGAAAAATGTCCAAAATTATATCATATTTGTAATAAATCAACTCTAAATGTTTTTCGTCCTCCTACTTCATTGCAGAATATGCATGTAACGATTCCAAAAGTATGCCTAATTTAATTGAAGTAGTGAACAAATATTGAGGTTTCCAATCGTTCATTTGCTTCTATTGCTTACACCATTATAGGAGCCATAAATTTTACCTATAGTTATCATACACTCAATCTCCTTCCCTTTATCGGACGAAACCTTAGCCAACTTAAAGTATGTCTCGTTTACCACACTAGGCATTTAAGAGATGTCATGTATCTTTTGCTACTAAATTAATGGCCTCAAAAAGGTTTGCCTTCATGTGTCTGTATCATCTACCACCATTGTATGCTTGCACACGATTTTATCCCTCGATTTTCGAAGCCCGCTTCCAAACATGCACTTCATAAACCTTTAAATTCTCCAATCTCTTATCAAAATTTGGTCATTCTAGATCATATATTGTTTGATAATATATATGTTATTAACATAAATTTAAAAAAACACATAAATGGATTCAATTATTGAAAATAAAACTTTCTTATTCTTAATATCTAGCTACGATTGTGGTCGTTATAAAACTTCTAAATATTATTCATACTAATATGACAGATGCAATATGCAGGATATGCGTAGAGAGGTGTCCAATTACATTCTAATGATTTAAATTGTCACCAAAATGTATGTTACTCAATCAGAGATCAAGAAAACTCCATCTTCTTGAATGATATACTTACATAGACTAGTAAAAAAGAAATCCTAAGTCTATATTATCTCTCCTTTAACAATGGTGAATGCAATCAGGAATATATTTAATTTATCATCTTGTACAATTTCTATCAACATCATATGCTTATATATATCTTACAACAACATACCATCTACTTGGATAATACGTTTGTAAAATAGAAATCATTCTATGCATGAACTCAATGCCTAAAAGGGACTATGGAATATCTCCTTCCTTGAAGAACTTGACCTTCTAGGTTGTATGCAAGCATGGTTTGAGACTTCACTATGGTTCTTAGGATAAATCAT